CTAAATTAAGAGTCAGGCAATCATGTGTAACGCCACTATATGTCAAATAAAGCCTTTTTCTGTTCCATACCTTACTTTAAGCTTTATATTCATTTCTCGCCATTATTCTTTTACCATCGTTTAAGTACAAAATAATGTACATCATATTCAAATTTCATGTCAATCAGATGATTTCTTGTAGAGTTGACAAAAAACGCACTTGTTGCTTAAGTTTTGCACACCAGTGTATTACGATATATATTCCGTCAGTCATGAAAAACTATGTAGGCACATCCAGTTTTGAAATCCTCTTCATGTATTAGCTTTGATCCGTCTGCATAAATTTCTATTCCGGAGTTTAAAGAATCCGAAATTTATGATTATATTTTTTGCGGGATGTTTTAGAGTTGGTTTAGGTATGAATTTATATCCTCCACTTTATGAAAGAAAATGTTGGTTACTGGGTTAGTCTAGTTTCCAATTTAATTATTAGGTCCAGTGGAGGAATCTGCAAGAACTTGGAAGTACGTCGGTAGCGGTACTTTTGAGATAGAAAGTAACGGAATTCTCTCAATATTCTTAAGTTCTGTAATAATTCTTGTGTAACCAGATCTTGTGTAACATAAACCAGATTTCTGAGGCATATAAGATCTATCTTAGAATACCGTTAAGGTAGATATGTTTTCTGATGTTTGGACTAATTCTCCAGTCGACCCCAACGATTCTATTTAATTTAGCATAAAATTTGGAAACCTTTGGGTGTGGATTCTCTTAATGGGGCAACCAGGAGAGCTGACCATTCAATTTGAAGCCGAAGTGGGCAATTGTAGATAAAACAGTAATTCTATCGTCGCTAAATTTGATAATTGGTTTCCTTGTTATCAGTTTCTTCTTAGGGAAGACTATGGCATATGCTCTTAAAGTACTGAATTTTTAATTCTGTGTGGCTGCCTATTTTTGAAATATCTTGAACGGGATTGTAGCTCCAAAGTAATTCTAGTAAAGGGGAGTAAAAAAATCGTCCGCAAAAGATATAATAGATTTATTTTCGTCTCTGGGCGCTCTCTCAACTTGACACTGGCTATGAGGAGCCACAGGATTGGGCCATGGCTGTCAACCTACAGTACCCTCATACAGAGAGCTTCCGTTCCATGATCTCCTTGTTCCAGGTTACATAAAATAAATCTATCCGTTAAGAAACTTCGTATTGTGTTTGTTGTGGTATTTGATGCGCCAATAAAATTTAATTCAGTTATTATATTCTCCCAGAGAACATTGTCGAAGGAGGCTCCCTTAATATCCAAAGACATACCAAGTGTATATTTTCTTTCTAGTTTTGACTCCCGGATACGGGTAATAAATGTTTTCATCGAAGTTGTTGAACATTCAGATCTAAAACAATCTTCATATAAAATATTGTTATCTTCTTGGAAAAAAGCTAGCCTATTAGTAAAGAGTTAGTCCAGCACCTTACCCAGAACCGGAAGAAGTGAAATAGGTTTATATGCATGGGATTCGCTAGGATTCTTTCTAGCTTTAGATATGTCCAAGGTTTCGGGAAATTATTTAAGGAAAGACATTTGTTTTACATGTTTGTGAATCATTTTGGTTCGAGCTGGTAGATTGAGTTGAAAACTTATGGTGGCAGGTTGTCAGGGCCTGATACTTTGTTGTTTTTAATATTATTAATAACATGTGTAATTTCATTAACTGTGAACAGTTGATCAATATTTAAGCTGATCACATGCGGCAGGGGTGGATACTAGTTAGGTACAAAATGCTATTTTAGCATTGCTTATCTATAGTTTCTTGTTTGTAGTGGTAAATTATCAATTTTCCGTATGTATTGTATTTCCCCATGGCTATTGAGTAGCCAGATGCATTCTTGATTGGTGATACTGTTTAGATATGATTTTAGTTATTTCTTTCTTGGTTTTGATAATTAACTTCTACTACCTTTCCTTATATCTTTTTTTATTGGAGTTTCATTTTTTGTCTTAGATCTGGATCTATTTTAGCCTGGAATCTTCTTTTCACTCTTGCGATTTTTCTCTGTATTGATAAATCCAGTGACCATCATGGACGGTTTTTTATAGGTTTCACTATTTTCTTCTTTTTTTAAAGAAAAGTAAACAATGACTCGTATGAGCACGAAAATGTTACCTATACTTTTTAAAGAAGGGGAACTAGACAAAAACATCTTTTAAATATACTCGTACAATAACAAAAATAAAATTTTAAAAAAAATCCAAAAGTAAACATTATTTTTTGTCCGCATATCGATAGAATAACGCAATGATCAAATAAAAGTATTACTCATTAATTTCACAAATGTAACCCGTTTTGATGGCGAATGGTGGTTTGCAAATTGAATTCATATTAAATAAGGTTTATCGTTTCCCATTTGTATTCAGATTATCTCAAGTCTTGAGTTGAAATATCAGATGATCTAACACTAAATCGTGACACTAAATCGTGATATTTTATGTATAGTGCGCAAAATAAAAAACACGGACGACCCTGAATAACTTTTGACCTAATGATAGGCTGTTTACGTTTTGGAACTTAATCTTAAAGGTTAGAGGGGTTGACCTCAAATATGCTAATTAATTAGTGCAGAGTTAGGTAATCAGACACAAAAATGTATTTCTTTGCATAAACATACCCTTTTTTCCGACAGATTCGGATTCCTGACGAAATATAGAGGGTGGTCCCAATAGTTTGGTTAGGAGAGCGGTCCAAAGTCTGACGTTATTTTTACTTTTTGCGTATTTCACCATACCTCGAACTTTTTAAGCGAATTTTAAAATTTTTGCACACTTTCTCATTAGATCAAAAGTTATTTATTCAGAGTGGTCCGATTTTTTTCCGCACTGTACACAGGCTAAATGAAAAATCTGGTTCTTTCCCAACTTGGAATTTTTAATAATCAACTTTCAACTCCTCACTGTTTCGTCAGGCAATTCAACAGGTTTTGATGTTTTCAATCCCACTTTTCTGAACTGTGATTTGTCTGAGTTTCGCAGCCTTTTTGTTTTTTTCTTCGTTTAAGTTTTAATTTGTGACTCATAACTGTGCAGTGTTCTTTACTTCATTTTTGACAAGGAATTTTAAAAAACACCCATTATTTCAAGTAATTAGGAGATTATAAAAAAAATTGGTCCGGGTTGGCTCAGGATAGCCGGGTTGGCAGGGCGGTAGATTCACGTTCGTGAGCACGGAAGTTCGAATCCAGCCGGCTGAAGACTCTTCGTGTATTAAATGACGACTTGTGCACGTTAAATCAATCGGGTCACAAAGTTCTCCAGGTTTACATAATAAATCATACCTCTGGGGGTACGGAATTGGAAATTGATCGTTCTCTGGTTCAGGTCAAAATTACAATTTGCGAATGATTAAATGGGTCCGCTCTTTAAACGAGTGTGGGCAGGAGTGTGGGCAGAAGTCGAATTTATGGTCATAGATGGAGCCACTGGAAAACAAGAACAATCGCAGCACTTGACTTAATGGTTTACGACAACAGTAACAACATAAAAAATGTTTCCATTTTGGAACAGGTGAAGGGGATTGCAGCAGCATTCCGCACCATTTGGTCTCTGAAGTAAAGAAGTCTTGTTTCAACACAGAACAAAATACAAATAACACCAAAAAAATGTATCAAACTCAGATACTATCTTTATTTGCCAATAATTTAGTACAAACCAAACGTAAAAACAGCAAACTTTAGAACTCTATAACTTACCTTCATTTTAAAACGAAATTTATCTCCTAGTCACAGCTGCCGCCTTGCGACCTCCTGTTTGCCACTGTTCCGTTATTATGGGTGACACCAACGATTCATCGGATACAGTTGAAAGGGCACTTTCGCTAAGAGACTGCCTTGCTGGTTTCAACTTTATTGTAAAGTGTTTGTTCTCTTCCTGCTTCTCTGAAGAACTTGGATAAGCACGCGGAATTTTGGACTTTGATCTTTCACGGATCTCCTGCATACTTGTCGCCTCCTTTATCGATGATCTTTCACGGCTCTCCTGCATACTAGTTACCTCCTTTATCAAGGTCTCGGGATCTTCATCTAATCAAAAATAGAAGAAATCTTACTAAATATAAAAATCTAACGATGGTGCCGCAATTTCACATTGTTGACAATATATTTTTATTGGCTGGAAAATCACATGGTGGGATCCAGTTTTCCCACATTAATTTTCATATTGGTTTGGTTGTCATCAGCATAAAATTGATGTAAGTCATAAAGTTATCGTTTTCCCATAAATATTTTTGTTTCCCTAATTTAAAGGTTAAAATTACCTGTACTGTTATTTTGTTTGATTTCTAAATTAAGAGTTAAGGAAGATTGCTTTTCAGTGGCGTACGCAGAATTTTTTCAAGGGGGGTGTTCATAATTTTCTGAAGCTACTAAAAGAAATTCGAGTATGTAATAAAGAACTATTATTTCCCTAATTTAGACAGTTTTGACTTTTTATTTAGACAACATTGTTTAGTTAAATTTTGATTTGATTTTTTAAGTTTAAGAACATAATGTAATATCTTCTAGCATATAATATCTTCTGAAAAAAAGTCCAATGTCATATGGTGGTAGTGGCCCTCAAAGTAACACTTTGAGGGCCACTTTCACATTTATCAGATTTTGTTATGCTAGAAAAGTTTTCTTCAACGGAAGTATCACATTTTGTACAACAGAAAAACTTAAATTGTACTCCGTTCCCCCTTTTATATAATTTTTCACCGCATCTCCAAAATTCTCGAATTGTCTCAAAGACGACAGAACGTCTAAGATTCCAGAATCATCGCGTAAAGACCTCGCGAATGACAGCCAGTCTCGAAAACTATCGCGACTGGCAGAACAGAAAGGAACCAG